TTTTTTTTTTTTTTTTTTTTTTTTGTCAAAGTTGGCTGATAAAATGTGCATTCCAACATTTTTGCTGAAATTCTTGAGTTTTTTGAATCTTTCTCTGTGCATTCATTCGTACAGTAAAAATGAATTCAAGCAGAATGGTTGAAAGAAGTTGAAATGATAAGGCGAAATGCCTATGATTAGTATTTTTTGTGTACATTCAAGGCAAATAAAACTTTTTTCTCTCCATCCTGGAGTTAATGCTTCTGAAAATGTTGGGCTTTCCATTCAGACGTCGTTCCAGTCCACCAGTCTCTTCGTCGTCAAAGAAGAAAAGAAGGTCTGCTCAAGAGCACAACAAAACAACAACACTACCAGCAGTTTTTTAACATATATATATATTTGCCATCTGCAATATTTTTTTTATATAACAAAAGTCTTATTTTCAATGCAGACGAAGTAATTCAATTTTTTTGTATGTATTTAAAAAATATTCAGCATTTTCAAAAAATAATGAATAGTTGCAAAATGAAAAAAGTGGCATGAAAAATGACTATTTTGGTTGATACAGAGAGTGCTTTCCTTTTTTTTTTGGCTGTTAAAGAATCAATTTTTTTTACAAACATTTTACATACCGTGATGTCGGCGGTTTTAGTCATAGTTTTAACTCTTTTTATTGAAACTAAAGGTGGGATAGAAATGAATAATTGTTTTTTTTTCTTGAAAAAACTATTACTTTTTCTTGATTTTAATCCTTATTGGCAATTGCTTTTTTTGACAAGTTCGTATGATGTATGTAAATCATATGTAAAAGCGACTGACGGGTAGAATTGTAGTTATTTTGGTGCTATTGAAAAAAATATGTGGTTTTTGATACTAGTTGTGTTACTTATCTTTTTGATTCTAAATAAAAACTGTGTGGTTACATAAAGAAAGTAATATGTGTTAGTAATTGAAGGTTTTGGCTGCTGCCGGTTATCGATGTATTGCCATAGATTTACCGGGATGTGGAAAAACTGGAGGACCAGCAGTTTCGGACGGTAATAAGGCGGAAATTCTTTCGTTGGTTATCCGGCGTCTTGAACTTGATTCGGTAAGCTTCAAAAATTCAAATGTCAGCTAATCTGTTGATATTGGACGGCTGAACCATTGCGGAAATTGCTGACGACCGTTATTTGGTTTCCAGTAAATCTGAGAGGGTTGGATTTGCATAAGTGATGCATTTTTTGAATTTTAATGGGATTTTTGATTTGTTGGAAATTATTCGTGTTTTCTTCTAATATGGATCCTTTTTTAAGGTAATGATTGTCGGTCACAGTATGGCTGGTCAGTACATTGTTCCACTGTTTGGGTCTAAACAGATTTTATGTGTTGTTGCTGTAGCGTTGTCTAATACGAATACATTACCTGAAAATGCTTCACAGTTTAAAACACCTATACTGGTTCTGTGGGGAGATCGAGACACCAGTTTAGGTCCAAATGCTGCAGCTAATCTTCAGCGATTACCTAATGCAAAGTATTGACTATTAGCTTTTTAAATATATTGTGCGTCGTAGTGACAATCAGAAATAATTGAACCAGCAATTCTTTATCATATTTCGTCTTGTAAGATTACTGATAAATTTTAAGTCGTCAAATGTACACAGATAATCGGCTTTTTTAGGTTGTTAAAGATTCCAAACGGTGGTCATGCTTGCCATTTGACAAGTCCAGAATACTTCCAAACAGCGTGCATCAACTTTTTTGACTTAGTTCGACAGTACTGTGTTCAACCCTCATAGAGCCGGAATAAAATTTAAAGAAAAAATAAATCTTTTATTTAGCTCAAGTTTGTCTTTCTTGTACATTGCTTGTTTGTTTGTTCGCCTGCTTCATTGCTTGCATTTCAAAAATTGATAATTGTACGTTTCTATTAATAAAAAAGGAACAAAGAATAAAGGAATTTATAAATTGTTGTCCTATCTGTGAATGTTTATCATTACTGGAAAATAATTCAGCTCTGACTTTGCCGGGCAACCACAGAGTGTTCGTCTTGGTTTAGATTTTATTATCTAGTATGTTTCACTTTTTTTTCTGCTCACTATAAGTGTTGGGAAAAGACAAATATTTTTATGGGCGAAATCAATTCTGTTCGGCAAATGAACTTTCAGGAGCATCATAAGCAGTGTGTGATTTATGGACATTTTTCTTTTTTGCCAGTAAGCAGATCCGTTATTTGAAAAAAAAAAAAAAAGAACAAGAGGAAGAAAGTTGCCTTTAAAACTGTATTCATTCTTGTGTTTATGGTTTCTTTTTTATCGCTTTTTTTTGCTATATTTTTGGTCGCATATTTTTGAGACGTGATTTTGCTAAGAATTCATATGGAAAAGTTTGGTTTATTGTTCTACACGTGTTGAGGGGGGGTCATGAAAGCAAGCTTCCGAGGAGGATTCTCAGCAGGGTTTGTTATTAGGTGGATACTGCTGTTTTGTTCTACCCACTGAAATGGCGATTCCATAACTTTAATGTCACATCCACTAATGTATTCTCTTCTTCTTTACCTCTGTATGCAATTAATTTGCTGTTTTTTTATTTTTTTATTTATTTTGGTTTTTCCAACAAAGTAACAACATTACGAGATAATTAGTTGTTGTTTTTATAGTGATGGAAAAGATGAATTTGGATTTGGCTGCAGAATACTGATTTCCTAAAACATTATTTGGAGAGACCGGGGAGGAAGGATTACGGAAGAGGAGAAGGCAAAAAATGGTTGTAAAACAAAGTTTTGTAAAACATTTTCGGACTGTGTAAAATTTGTCAGCTACTGTCTTTGTTGCTAATACACTTCGTTGTCAATGGTTTTGGTGCAGTCGACGCAAAGCCACTATTGGAGTGAGGGGTTTTTTTTCATTATTTTAAAAAATCACTGTGAGGTTTCACATTCATTGATTTATACAGGTGTTACAAAACGACTGGTTGCTGGTAACAGAAAAAGAGATATGAAGTGAAAAACAAAAAACAGTTATTTGTGAAAATATTTGTTGAAATTTAGTGTTACTTAAGTCCTAAACTCTTTCCGGCTGCTCTTATTAGTTTTACTGCCTGCTGTATGCAGATATCGGAAGCAACAGCTGAAGGATAAACTTTTATTGGCGGCTAAGAAACTGAAATTTTTTTAATGTACATATTGCTTTTCTCGTCCACTACTTAATCATCAAACAAAAAGACTGTACTTCAAGAACAGCTAAAAAAATTAGATTTCAGATTTCACTTGGTGTCATCAGTGTACAAAAAAAGTCTTTTGAAGAGGAAAAAAGTGACTTGAAAAAATGACAACAACAACGGCCAAAAAAAAAACGAAGCTAAATCTTTTTGGTTGTAATGATTAACGATACCGACACAATTTTCCGTCGTATTGGAGTGAGCTTCTTGCGGATGCAAAAGTCAGAGCAAAGAAAACTGAAACTTCAGCAGAAATATATCTTCAAAATTATTTTTTTGCACTTTTGAAGCAAAAAGATGGAAAAGAAAATAATGGCCGCATATGAAAAAAAAAAAGAGAAAATTTAAATCTTTTGCGGAAATCACTTATTTCGCTGGTCTGTCTTTTGATCTTCCTATGTCTCTGCTTTTGAAAAATGAAAGAAAATTCTTTTGAAACATAATTTCAAGTACATTTTTGTATTACTTTCTATAATTTTCGCGATTTTTGGATACAATTTCTGATGTCTCGTACTTTTCTCTCTTTTTTAAATGGAAACTGAGATCCAATCTGAAATGTTTGAAGAGTCCATCAGCAAGCAAATTTTCGCCCTGTTCTCCAAGTAAACGGATTTGAGCTGTGATTAGTGGCGGCCTGTAGAAGTTTTTTAAACCTTCTGAAGACAAGTCAGAAAATTCAAAAAGGATTTTTGGCTAACCTTCCCCTCATTTCAAAAAATCTTGCAATTTCTGTTTTAGCACAATTTATGGCAGCCGTTCAGATACACACTTTATGCTGTTCTGAAGTAAAAATAACTTTCATCAGTTCTCAGTGTTGGCATTATCTTGTTTGGCGAAAAGCTACGGGACTTGAACTACTTGCTTTTCGGTTATTACCAGTCGCTCAGAAAGTCCATAATTTTCACTAAAAAGCCAAAACTCAACTAGTACAGAAAAGAAGTTGTTAAAGATTACTTAGTTATACTTCTAACATTATCAAAGAAATCGTACTTAGAAAAAAAAATTATGCAGTGAGATTATCATTTGCAATCATTTAAATTAAAAACCATTAAGTTCCTGGTATTTCACATCATTTTTTAGCAGCATTTTCTTGTACCTGTAGATTTATTTGAATGTTACATTAAAAAACTACATAAACAGCTAGAAATAAGTAATTTTAATGCAGTTAATATGTGTTTAAAAAATGTTGCTTTATTAACAAATGTTGATACATCCTCAACAATTTATTATGTCGACATACGTTTGTTGAGACTCCATTTTTAATTTGCTTCTATTTCCTTCTTTTTCTGCTGGTCTATTCTCGATTCTGCCTTTTTCTGATTATTTCTTGCCTTTCTTTTTAAAAAATTTATTTAAGGTTTTTTTTTGCAGAAAAATTCTTTTTTTTCTTCAGCTGACTATAAAAGACAATTAAAATTTTTTAATCTGACATAAGTAAACCCTTTTCTAAACTTGACGTCGTTGCCGTCATAAACTTTGAAAACAAGAAATCTAAGAAGAAAATGGAGCATAGAAAGCAAAAAAATTGCTCTCATTCTGTTAACATCAGCTACGGCATCTGGAGAACCAATATAAGGAATGAACACTGCTAAGCTTTTTGAATTTTACTTTTGAAACGTATTTCTAAGAATTACAAAAATTTTCTGTCTTTGACATATCTATCTTTATTTCTGTACAAATTTTAACGCTCGTGCACTAGGAAATTGAAAGATGTTTAAAATTTGTTTGAAACAGTAGTTAGTTTTATCTCATACCTTCAGTAAACCTTGAACTTTAAAAGACATATCAATTATTATCAAACGTGAAAGGCAACAATCTTTACAACGGAGCAGTTTTTTACTTTAAAACGAGCAAAATAGTGAAGTGACTTGAAGCAACAAAAAGTCTACTTTCCTTGTTTGAAGCCTCCACCGTCAAAAATGATCTCCCAATTTCAAAGAACTGACGCAAAAAATATATTGTGAATTTTTCGTTCCGCACATATCAGGCATTTTATAGTAAGCATCAGTTGCCAGAAGGTAAAAACTGAAGAATAGGTAACGCTCGGCTTTTTGATTTTCATTTCTGAAGTTTACTTGTTATTTATTCTGCCTCTGAATTTGCGCCACATAATTATTTTTGCATTGTGATAGGAAATGTTTACGCCAGATACAACAAGCAACAGCATGATGTCTGCGCAATGCTTAAGAATGCTTGAAATTGGAAAAGTCATTGTTTGGTTACACTTGCAGTGTTTATCATGAGCCGAGTTTGTACAACTGCTTTGTTTGAAATGTACGTCATTTCTTCTCTTCATGTTAACTAAAAGCCTGATTGCTTAAACAGTGGTGTACCTAACTTATATTACAGATAAAGAATGAAAAAAACTGCAAGCTCTCTCACAGTAATAGTTTCAAATGTGTATATATGCCCAATGAAAAAAATCTGCAGTCTTACAAAACTAACCTGAGAACTGTGCAATCTTCGCTAACTTTAACTTTCCTAACACGAGTTGAGATGAGCGCCTTCTGCATAGTGTGTGCCAGATTGGGTATTTTACTAAGGTTTGTAGAAACAAAATTTATGATAATTTTAGAAAGATAGATCACGAAACTCTTGCCTCTGCTTATGGGTAATATCATCGACGCTGCTACACAGCGAATAATATCACGAGAAAACAACAGCAACCAGAACTATAACAAACCCAAAATATAGAAAATGAAATCCGTCAAATGAGCACGGAAGAAAACCATAATGGTATACTGCAAGTTGAAATAATCGCAGAGATTAGGAAAAGCAGGAGTGGTAATGAATAAAGTCACCACTTATTCAAACTGATTCTGATATCAATACCAGCTTCCTTGACCGAATGCTTCCACAGGCTGTCTGTAAGGATTGACTTACTGTCTACTTCCCCAGAAGCTTCCTTTGTGGATTGACAGTGTCCTTCTTTCGTAGTGTTCTATTGCCTTTCGCGTGCTGTCGTGAAGCCCTTTTGTTTGCGCACGATTTCAACCTCAGGAAAACTATCAAGTGAAAAAAATAGCTCACCTCGTTGCTTTCTACAACCGGTCGCTTCTGAAGAAAGTGCAGAAAAGTACTTATCACTTTCTCTTGTTTTGGCTTTTATGAGGAATTGTATTTACCCCTTCAAAAGGTGAAAAAATCTCTGGAATAAACGGAGTTATGAGTCGCTCAGACAGTTCCTCTTGACGTGACAACACATTATACTACCGAAAATCGGCTATTACAGTTCAAGATCGTGTCACCATTGTTAGTTTGCTGAAGCAAACAAAGTGCTACTGCCAAATGCTTATTATCAAAGTCAGTTATCACGACGACAAACTTTTCTACAAGATGCACTACTGACTCTTCTATAACTTGATCGCTTTGAAATTCGTGTTTCCTAATAAGCAAAATTTTATCTCTCTTTCGTTCTGCTGCAGTTTCGCTCATTATCCCATAACAAGTTTATCTTTACGTCTAGTTTTAACTCCTTTCTTTATTGTTTCCAGTTGGACTTCTGGAGTAGAATTTGAAGAAACAAGAAAGCAAATACTGACGAAAAGTAGCCTGATGTTTTAGGTAAAAATTCTACCAT